TAGCGAACTTGGGATGCTGTGTCCTCGTAAACGCTAACGGCATGTATACCAATACCGTTCGCCCACGTGGAACTGCTCAGCCTTTACACGACTACGCTCATCGTAATATCGCTTGGCCCTCTCTTGTTCCTTTTTTATATGCTCCAAAGCTCGGCTTCGAATATCTTGGAGCCCCAGCAAAAGTTCCGTGCGATAGTCGTCCAAATCTATTATGTACTGCGCACCGCACTCGCGCCAAATTGGATCGATCCCATAAAGCAGAAAATAGGGATTCTCGCCTGTACTGTCTTGTGGTGTGGTATTATAACTATGCAAGACAAACGGCAATTTGCAATCCCATTCCATGGGCACAGGCGTATTCTTGGCTAGCATATTTGCCAGAGTTCGATTCATTCGCTCAGTGAGACCATTTTCTCGGGGGTTAAAACCAGCCGTAAACTTTTGTTCCACCCCGAATAATCTCACTACTTCTTTCATTAACATATTTTCAAACTCTCTTCCTCGATCGGAAGTAAGAAATTTTGGGCAGCGTCCCTTCCGCGCTACTCAGTGCTCCACAAAAATCCGAGCCACAGTCTCGGCTGTTTTGTTTGAGACGGCATACGCTGAATACCACTTGCTGAACACATCTATTGTAGTGACAACACAGAGGTCTCCGTGCGTTGTAGGTTTTTCGTGCAGAGCGGCAGCAATAGTGGGCGTAAGGGGTGATGTTCGTGTGGGCTGTGGGTTATGCGCGATACAAATTAACCAGGCCCAGTGTTACTTCGCCAAGTCCGCATGCATACCTGCCCAATAGAAATACTTTGAGAGCCGCTGCCACAGCTTTCTTGCACTTAAATGGCCAGCAGATACTCCTTCATGAACCTTTCGAAAGAGTTTCTCACGCTGGCTTTTCGGAACGACTATCTGGACCTGTTCATCTTCGCTGACACAGTCCAGATCTTTTCATCCAGAAAATAATTATCTACGTTGCTACCTACTTGTAGCCGCTTAATTATTTCCGAAAACTCCGGATCTCCCTTCAGTTTAACTAGCTGGTCTTTATCTGGAGCTTTTATAGTCATTATGACAGCTTCAGCTTCTGACATTAGATCCCCTTTCTCTTCGTTCCTACCCACTGCAACACTGGCCCGACTAAGGGCTTCTGCACATCTGTTAGAGGTCCCTTTAATATATTTCATTTCTAACTGATATGGCTGAAGTTCTAAACCCCTGCATAATATGCGATTTGAAGCGTTTCGCTCCTTGAACAGCGATAGTAAGGGTAAGATGATCGGTCACAGCAACTACCCGAGTGCCGTAAATATAGAACTTAAAGAGCCTTAGAGCGAAAACTAAGGCTAGCGCCTCCAAGTCCGTTACATGGTATCTGCTTTCTGCTGCAGAGCATGTTTTTGACGCAAAATGTATTGTATGCACCTGCCCGTCTGCTAGTTTTTGACTCAGCACCGTCCTTAGGCCTTGACTACAGGCGTCGGTAGTTATTTTGAGCGGCGCTTCTCCTGACACTGCCGCCATTATATTCGGTTGAGCCAAGACGGGTGTGGACGTCAGTTTGGCTTTCAAATTCTCAAATGCCTCTTCGCTACGTTCATTCCAGTCCACTCTGCTTCCTTTTTTAAGCATATCGTAAGAGGCCGGGCCAACAGTGCAAAATTAGCTATAAATTTTCTGTAATAGGAACACATTCCTAGAAAGGATTTCATCTCTTTCTCATTCCGAGATCGCAGAAATTTCTGAATCCTTGCTATCTTCTCCAGGTCGGTAGCCACACCTTGCCCGCCTATACGATTTCCAAGAAATAGTACTTCGGTTTGAAACAGCTCAAATTTCGCTGCTTTTAGCTTTAACCTGTATTTTCTTAATCGTATCAACACCTCTTCTAGCTTTTCTAGGTGCTCCTCTACTGTAGGTGTAACTACGAGGATGTCATCAGTATATACGAAAACATCCTTTCCTATCATTTCACCCAACATTGTCTCCATCATAAGCTCAAAACACGCGGGAGGCGTTGTGAAGCCGAACGGCAGCACATTAAGCTCATATAGCCCGTTCAGCGTTGCGAAAGCCGTTTTCGGTTTTGATTGCTCCTCGAGTTTAACCTGCCATAAGGTCCAGCTTGCTAAAATACTTCTTACCTTGCAAGCTCTGCACCAGCGTATCAATGTGCGGGAGGGGATAAGCATCTTGCTTCATCACCTAATTTACCCGCCTAAAGTCCACGCAAAACCGAAGAGTTCCGTCCTTTTTTTTCACCAAGACCACAGGACTGGACCACGCACTACTACTCTTCCGGATGATACCCCGGTCTAAGTAGCCCTTCAACATATTCATAACTTGTTCCCTTAAAGGCAGTGGAACTCTTTCCGCACTAAATAGGCTGTCTTGTGCTACTCCGCTGGTTCCTGGCATGCCTGTTAACGAAATAGCATCAACTACCTTTCTTCTTTTCACTTTTACCTTCGAAACAGTTTTCAGGACCGTATCCTTGGCTATCAGCAGTACTTGCTCGGTTTCATTCCGCACCAGAACAATTCCCCGTCTTGGAGACCTATTATTCCTTCTTGCACGTCACTTCATGCCGGTTCCAATAGTCCGCAGTAAAATTTCTCCATCGATAAGCTTTGCGCTCTTAGGAGGAATCAGCTCACGTTGAGCGCTTTTCACTACTGCGTTTTCCCGATTTCCTTTTCCCATGGCCTTTATCATTTCAGTCCTCCATTCCCTGCACTGCTCAAGTGCGTTCATTTCTAACGAAAGGGACTCGCTGTTCCTTTGCCTGCCATTCACAAACATGGTTACCGATTTGCTAACGCCCCATCCCCCACTTTATCTGGATATGTAATGCAGTATCTATTGTTTAGCAAAGGGCACTTACGGTGTAATTGAATTCCTTATTTCGGAAAAGTTAGGAAAATGAATTTCAGATGTTGCCGATGAAGAGAACGCGCAGTGGGCTGAAAGGGTGCGGGAAACCGAAGCTGCGAAAGAGGAGGCAAAACGGAAGGAGAAGATCGCTGCGGAAGAGTACAGGAAGCATGCGGAATGTGTTGTCAGCCTGAAACGGAATGTGGCTGAACTCGAAGAAAAATTAACAGTGACGTTGGAAAAACTTGACATCAGCCGGCAGACATTGGTCAGATTCCGTTACTATTAATTTAAAGGCATTTACACATGTTCCTTGTTATCGCCTCTTGAGCATTTTGCCAATGCTGAGCAACAAGCTGATCGCCTAGAGCATTGTCAATGACGAATTTTTATGCGTTTTTTGCATCTCTGCAGTGCAGAAAACGCATATTGACGTATATTTTCTGTGTGTTTTATGTGCGTGTTTGTGTCTGCGTGTGCCTGTTTGTTCGCTGTGCGTCTGTACCGACTTTTCATCTCGAGATCCACAAAAGCTACAGGGCTTTAGCTTTGAGAACTTAATCTACACACGTGTACTAGCCCCAGCTCCAAAATGGGTGCTCTTACCGCGTGGTACCCACGTACAAGACGACCTAATTTCCTCCCGAGTAAGTTGTTAACTCGGGGACCTGAAAGGCTGGAAGACCGGAATTTTAAGAGGATGTTTCCTGTCAAAGTAGGTATTAACGAGTTCAAACCTGGTCCTCGAGTATGCGTGGTACCCACGTACGGCCCGTCAAGATTTCTTCTGGGTGACTTTCTAACTCGGGAACCTGAGAAGCTAGAAGACTGGATTTTTAAGGGGATGTTTTGCGCCCATGTAGGTCTTAATGAGTTCACGTCTAGTTCGCAGGTATGCGTGGTTCCTACGTACAGGCCTGCGAAAATTTATTGCAAGTTGCTAACTCGGAAAACAGGAAAGCTAGAAAGCTGAAGCTTTAAAGGGGTGTTTTCAGACAGCCCTGGTGGCCAGTTTCAGTTCTCTTAGCTAGAAGCATTTGCAGGAGAAACCGATGCCGGTTGCAACAAAAGATGCGGGGAACTATGCAAAAAACGCATCTTCGCAGCGACAGTTGCTGCGCTGGCCATTTGGTTTAAGTTCTGCGAGACCTTTCACAAGCTGTATTTAACTTTTATTGTAACGCTTGCCTAGGTTCCGGAAAGTTTTTTTTTTTTTTTAAATTGAAAATATTACGGCCCAGATCTTTTTTCGCGGGGCTAATTTTTGTCTGAGGTATGCAGTATATGTCTACTAAGAGTAAATGTTTTCGCTGTTTGAAATGGGCCAAAAAGCTCTTATTTCCAAAATTTTTTGAAAGTATTTTGGATCTTTCTGTAAGAATGTAAATGCAATGAAACACAGAATGCTAAAAACTGTAGAACTTTTTGGTTTGTGTTCCTTCCTGTTGTTATATTTTTAGTTTTTTATGCGTTTTTTGCAGCAATGCAATGCGAGAAACGCACATTGACGAAAGGTTGGCTGAGTGTGTGTCTGTGTGTCCGTGTGTGCGTCTGTCACGGTTTTTCATTTCGAGACCTACAAAAGCTACGAGGCTGAAACTTTGGGGACTTAATATACATGCACGTACGGGCCCCAACTCTCAAAATTGGCGGCATACCCCACGTGGTACCCGCGTACGGGCCCGCCAAAGTTTTTTTCGAGCAAGTTCATAACTCGGGGATCTGAAAAGCTGGAAAGCTGAAATTTTAAGGGAATGTTCCCCGTTCAATTAGGTACTAATGAGCTCAAACCCAGCCCCCGGGTAAGCGTGGTACCCGTGTACGGACCCCCCAAAATTTTTCTCGCGCAAATTCATAACTCGGGGTTCTGAGATGCTAGAAAGCTGAAATTTAGGGCAATGTTCCGCGTCCATGCAGGTGCTAGTGAGCTCAAATTCAGCCCCCGGGTAAGCGTGGTACCCGCATACGGGCCCGCCAAAATTTTTTTCGGGTAAGTCCATAATTCGGGGATCTGAGAAGCTAGAGAGCTGAAGTCTTAGGGTAATGTTCTCCGTCCAACTAAGTATTAATACACTTATACCCATCCCCCGGGTAAGCGTGATACCCGCGTACGAGCCCGCCAAAATTTTTTTCGGGTAAGTCCATAACTCGGGGATCTGAGAAGCTAGACAGTTGAAATCTTAGGGGGGTGTTTCCTGTCCAACTAGGTGTTAATGCATCCATACCCAATCCACGGGTAAGTGTGGTATCCACGTACGGGCCCGCTAAAGTTTTTCCCGGGCAAGCTCATAACTCAGGGACCTGAGAAGCTAGAACGCTAGAATTTTAGGGTAATGTTCCTCGTCCAGCTGGGTTGTAATGCACTCATACTCATCCCCTGGGCAAACGTGGTACCCGCGTACGGGCCCGCCAAAATTTTTTTCGGGTAAGTCCATAACTCGGGGATCTGA